TAAAGTGGATTTTAATATCGGCGAGATAACGTCGCGTTCGTGCATTTGAAATCCAAAATAAGGGTAGTGGAACGACTGGTCCTTATGCTGTTGTCTCCCGACGACTTAATTCTCCTCCTTCCGCCTAAGGCCACATGTACATGTACTCTCCCGTTTTCACGCGCTATTCTTTCTCATTAGATGATGATGGCTATGCAGCATACCTTTTATAGTTACCAGTTGATGTTCGCTTTAGTGTTCGTTTGCCAGACGTGAAAAGTGCAAGGACAACGAACTAGTTCTGACAGTTATGCCCAACTCGCTAATCCGCCTAATCGGATATGCCTCACATGTAATAGGGACTGGTTGTTTTGTTGAAATTATAATTTACGACAATTTGCGCGCTTAAAGCTCTCTCGCTACAATTTCCTTCTTCATTCTTTGCGTTTTTTGCTTTTTTTTTTTTTTTTAATTTTTTTCTTCTTCTTCTTCTTCTTTTTTTTTTTTTTTTTGATTTCTTCTCCGCCTTTTTTTTTTTATGTTTTTTATTTTTTTTTTTTTTTTTTTTTGTATTCTTTGCTTTTGTTTTTGTTTTGTTTTCAACAGTCCTTAGGAAGAAATACGGCAAAAATTATGATTTTGTTTTATGCGAAGCTGCGCTGCACACAACCGAGCATTTAAATATTTCCAATTCCGACATTTATTTACCATTATTTATTAATATCTCCTATTGCTCTCTGTATAAATTTTTATGGCTGCCGATGAAAATAATGCACAATAAGTTAGTCGCCTAAAGTAACTTATTATGTTATTAGATATATAGCTTCGCATAAGAATATTAGAAGTCAGTAAGAAAGCATTCTTTGTTAACAAGAATGAGGTCGAAAGTAAGAAATATATCCCTATGTCGTTTCGTTGAAATTGGAGATTTATCAGACTAGTAAATCTTTGCGTGCTTCAGAGTTCATTCAAGTATTATTATTCTATAGCTTATTTCTCATAACTAAAAGAGTTTGAAATGTTTATGTTGCACTTGATGCGAAACTCATATCAATTTCATCTTAACGAAAAAATTGTTCGCGTTAAGGCGGTTGTATAAAACTCAAAATAACCGTAATATTTTATGTTATGATGTATGTTCGGAAAATAAATATCAACTAAAAAAGGTTATTAAAGGGTGATTTACGTTTAGTTGCAATAAAAATGTGCACTTAAAACTAAAATTAAATTACGACAGATAAAACAGTTTTTTATAAAAATAAGTTTGCAGCTTTAAAAATAAATAAGAATTAACCTCGTTCTTTAGCCGTAAAAGTATTTACATGCTATATATCAATTTTAAAGTATAAGAATAATTTTTCAGGCTACAGAATTTATTTTTACTACTATAATATTTTCATTGAACAACAACCAAAAAAATTAAAAAAAGAAAAAAGAAAGCAAAAAAAAAAAAATGAAATATCTGCGCTTTTCATTGTCATGCTCAATACATTTATGTACGAACTGCATCGAGTACGTTCTCGTCTCGATCTACAAATCAATAAAATCGTATTATCTCCATTAAACATTTAATTAAAACGTATGCTTCATCATATTTGTGCGATATAATGATTTTCCATCACCCTTCTCAAAAGTACTTGAATATTTTTAATAAAAATAGATGCAAATTTCAGAACTCTCGTAACGAACAATGAATGAATGCCCTTCCCTTTTCGCGAAGACGCACATCGTCATAAAATAACTAACTACACACGCGCACACAAACACACACTCAGACACGCGCACGCACGCACAAGCACACACGACATTTTTAGTAATCCTAAAAACATTGCGTTATATCTACGGGTAGCGGGCGGCTCCTTAATCCTACGACTTGTTTATCGACAAATGCGGGGGCGGATGCAGTTGATTTTCACAAAGAGAGTGAGAAAGCGTGAGTGAGATGAGGCGAGAGACGACTGAAAGGGAGAAGAGAGAGAGAGAGAGAGAGAGAGAGAGAGAGAGAGGGAGGGAGAGGGAGACCAAAATCTCGAACGGGTTTCGACGGTGAAACCAAGAAAATCAGTCCAAGAGCTTCGCTGCAGTGCTGTACGCTTGGGTCTCTCGTCGAGCCGACGAACGACTCTGGTTAGGTGCACGTATGAAAACTAAGTCCGGGTTTCATTTGACTGACTTTACGAGGGAGACATAAAATGGATTTTACTGTTGGCTAGTTCGCCAGTTCGCGAGTTGGTAACATTGCTTTGGCGAGAGCGAGCGAGTGCAATACAACCGAGTTGTACGCTCTTGCTCTCTTTCTTTTTCCCTCTGTTTCTTTGTCTCTCTTTTTCTCCCCGTCTCTCCCCATCTCAAACTCCTCCTCCTTCTTTATCTCCTCTTTTTTATTCTGCAAAGTCTTTCTCTTTCTCTACCCTTCTTTCTCTTTTTCCTCTCACACGTTCCTCATCTCACGTCGATCTCTTTTGAGCTTTCGCTGCACTCATTTCCCGTCTGTCTTACGTTGTTAGTTTCCCTCGTTCTCTCTCTCTCTCTCTCTCTCTCTCTCTCTCTCTCTTACTCTCCCTCTTCCTCTCACTCTTCCTCTCCCTCTCCCTCTCCCTCTTCTTCTTCCTTTTTCTTGCTCCCGCGTATTTCTAAACTTTGCGCATGAGAAATTGCTCCTGAACGCGAGTAATATCCGTTCAGAAAAGTACAGTTCCTCACTATATAAACTTGGGTTTTATTGTTCTGTCTTATTCGTCGTTTTACGACTTCTTATTTTCATTTTTCTTTTAATTTTTCTTATACGAGGCGTGGCTACTATGCTTGAACAAAATAGTTATTAAGGCGCGCCTATTAATTTTTCGAGAATCGGAAGTTCTAAAATAGTTCAAATAGTAGCATTGATAAAACAAGGTAGGTGGGTTAATATTTAACTCGTCAAGTTAAATTTCTATATTCGTCGTAAATATTTTTAATGTATAAAAATAAGAAAATTATAATAATAATATGTATTTGTAAAAATGCGATTTAAAGTGGCTAAGTATAAGTTTTCAAATAATTAAAATAATTTCAATACAATGAATTGGCAATTTACGATATTCGTGTATCTGAAAGTTCAACAATTTCAACTCCTGTAAAAAAAAAAAGTGTTAAAATCGTATTGTTTGAATTTTAAAATTATTAATTTAAAATTGAATTATTAATATGTAGTTAGACTTATTTATAGATTATGTAAATATACGCTAAGCTCTATTTACACTTCCAAAGGAGCTTCAATCTTTTATAAATTTAATACTAATTTTCAATGTCGAACGTTTTTTTGGAAGATTTTTCTGCACATTAAGATAATCATTTCGCTTTATACTTATAAATACTTTACATTTATAAACTTCTCCGGAATGGTATAATTTAATTTTGAAAATAATATATCTGCAATTTCATTAATTGAAATTCATTAATTATTATTAATAAACCCTTGTATTCATATCAAGCTTCATTCGAAAATGAATTGCATTAAATTGCTAATTCCTTCTATTTGAAATTATAAATTAAATGAAATGATATGCAAATGATTGTATTATTGACTTTATAGAAGGTTAAGTTTATTTTGTTAAAGTTACTCTGAGAAATCTAACATACATGATTTATTTCTGACACTTTACCTTAAATATTTGATGTACATTAATTTCAATTTCTTAAAACGCGACAAATATTACAAAAAAAAAAAAAAAAAAAAAAAAAATCCCATAATATCAAAGCATACATTACACTAAAACGCAGATTATCTTTTAATACAAATAAATCTAAACTCTCAGCTGTTATTGGAAAATTTAATGAATAAAAGCTTTGTAAAAAATGTAAATAAATTTGTAAAACAGAGGCAGTAAACGAAGATAGATTTTTACTTTGTTAATTGAAGAATCGGAGTGACAGGATTTGCATGTTTAATTATTGCCAAAGTTTCTTTTGTTCGCATTTCATATTTACTACAAATTATTAAAAAATGAGTAACAAAAGAGTTTTACAGGGAGAATAATAACGGCATGCATTTACAAATGTTTATGAAATACTGAGACATGTATTTTTTGTGCAATAACGAAGCTCACCTAATAACTTTTATTCAATGGGTCTTATTTCGTGAAATAGAACCCGTTACTAATTGTGTACTTATCAATGTTTGACAACATCATGCAACATTAAGGCAAACTATATTGACTTTTGATATCCAATTATATTTTTGTTACATTAACTGATTCAAATATTGATAAATACACAATTAACCTTGAGCTCTATCTTAAGAAGTAAATCCCATTGAAGAAAATGCTGACACATGAGTTCTATTATTTCGCATAAAAATATATCTCTCGGAGATTAATCAAATCCGGAACTCGCATTCCTGACACTTTCTTCGTTACTATAAACTAAAAATACGTTCTAATGTTTCTTTTGTATTTAAAATTAGTCTTTTCAATTGTTTCCGCTCTTTATTGTATTTACTTTATTTATTTACATTCAACTTAAGTAAATCATTATTAGAATCACGTCAATTTCAAAACTGATTAGTCTTACAATCCATTTTGTATATTAGATTTGGCAATTTTGAATTATGAATTAATTAAAAGCTTTTGTTTGGTTAATTTTCTCTTTTGTAACTATTGAAATGCCTGCGATTAAAAGTCGTAAATTCTACCATAATTTTAATTTGTCGTAAAGTTTAATATGTTCGATGAATTAAATATTGATTTGTTATACATTTTTGGCAATTATTGACATCATTGAGTTTTGCACATTTAACATTAAAATATTCGTACGACATTGTAATATGATAAAGCAAAGTTTATTTTAGTTTTTGCAAATAATAGCAATCTGACATCCGTCAGATTCTAAATGAGATTGACGCCTTTTATTTTAACTAATTGACAATCAAACGGTCGTTAAATTGAATTTGCTGTTTTTTTTCATCGTGTATCAATAAATAAGCCGATTATGTATATACTCAATACAAAAAATCGAACGATCATTCCACTTTTTGGTTTCAGAAACGAGCATGAGCCATCGCTTCAAGATCGAGAAGACCGACGATACGGACTAATCCAAAGATGTGCATGAGGGTTGCACGAAGGTGTTGAGAGCTCGTTAAAGAAGACAGTCTCTCTGGCTTCATTAAGCTTTAACGGTCAAGAAGAAATTAAGCAAATTTTAGGAAAACGTTGAAGCAAATGATAATGTAACGCGCGCGGTATTTTCAAAGATGCTCGCGTGCGACTTTTCGACATTTTTTAAATGTACAGGCAGGAGCGAGATCGTACAAATTACGAGCGTACGTATAAAAGTCGAGAATTACCTACTTGCGCGATAGGAGGGTGTAGAGGATGGCGAATGAACGAGGAGAATAAGGAGCGGAATAAGAAGCAGAGGAATTAGAACGTAGAAGAAAATAAAGAAGAAGAATAAGAATAAGAATAAGAAGAAGAATAAGAATAAGAAGAAGAAGAAGAAGAAGAAGAAGAAGAAGAAGAAGAAGAAGAAGAAGAAGAAGAAGAAGAAGAAGAAGAAGAAGAAGAAGAAGAAGAAGAAGAAGAAGAAGAAGAAGAAGAAGAAGAAGAAGAAGAAGAAGAAGAAGAAGAAGAAGAAGAAGAAGAAGAAGAAGAAGAAGAAGAAGAAGAAGAAGAAGAAGAAGAAGAAGAAGAAGAAGAAGAAGAAGAAGAAGAAGAAGAAGAAGAAGAAGAAGAAGAAGAAGAAGAAGAAGAAGAAGAAGAAGAAGAAGAAGAAGAAGAAGAAGAAGAAGAAGAAGAAGAAGAAGAAGAAGAAGAAGAAGAAGAAGAAGAAGAAGAAGAAGAAGAAGAAGAAGAAGAAGAAGAAGAAGAAGAAGAAGAAGAAGAAGAAGAAGAAGAAGAAGAAGAAGAAGAAGAAGAAGAAGAAGAAGAAGAAGAAGAAGAAGAAGAAGAAGAAGAAGAAGAAGAAGAAGAAGAAGAAGAAGAAGAAGAAGAAGAAGAAGAAGAAGAAGAAGAAGAAGAAGAAGAAGAAGAAGAAGAAGAAGAAGAAGAAGAAGAAGAAGAAGAAGAAGAAGAAGAAGAAGAAGAAGAAGAAGAAGAAGAAGAAGAAGAAGAAGAAGAAGAAGAAGAAGAAGAAGAAGAAGAAGATGATGATGATGATGATGATGATGATGATGATGAAGAAGAAGAATAAAATGATGAAGAAGAAAATGAAGAATAAAACGATGAAGAAGAAAAAGACGAAGAAAAAGAAAAAGCAATTAACGTTCATTCAATGTTCATGCTATGTGTTTGAGTTTGTTCCTTTTATTAATCGCAACTGAAGCTTCCCACTTTTTCTTCTTACATGCATCTGTAAACGAGTACATTTCGATACACACACGTATACAATCACCCATCCATTCGTTCACGCTCACGCATACCCACCCATCTATCCATCCACCTACTCGTGCATTCACCCACCCACTCGTGTATTCATCCACCCATCCATCCGTCCGTCCGTCCGACAGTTAGTTCCACCATCCACCTACCTACCCATCCACCCACGCATCCAGGCTTTATTCAAGTTTTACGAAAGCTCTTGCTTCTCCGCAGAGGTTTCATGCGCGTCTGCTTGTAATTCGTTCTCCGAAAGCACCTTCTTCGTCACTAACGCGAGACGCAAGGAGAAATCGAAGGAACTGTGTTCTTTACTTTTTCAAAGAAAGTGCCAGAAACGGAATGTGTGTAAGAAGGGGACGGGCATCGAAGTAAAGAAACCTATACCCGCTGAAAAGAAATACACTGCTATATTGTCGGGGTTATAAGCGTGCGCCGCCCTACAAGGGCTAAATAATACGTTAGAGTGAGAGAGAGAGTGTGTGTGAGAGAGAGAGAGAGAGAGTGAGCGAGTGAGTGAGCGAGTGAGAGAGAGAGAGAGAGAGAGAGATACACTGCATTATGCTGAGCAGTTTGGCAGGAAGCGGCGGCAGTGCGCGTGGTAATAGCGAGAACAGGTAAAATTGTCCGATGGCACGTACCCACGGATAAAAGGAAATGAGCGAAGAAGAGGCGAATATAATGGTATGCCGGTACGCTTTGCAAGAAAGCGAGCAGCGAGCAGCGGCCAGCGGCTGACCGGCAGCGTGGCGCAGGAAGCGTGCAGACCGCGAAGAAGCGACGAGGGACTCGCAAGTAGAGACATTATCGCGTGGCTCGGTGTTGTATACTTCGATGGTGAAAGTCTTTGGTGGGTCAGGGTGGGGGTTGGGGTGGACTGGAGTGGAGTGGAGTGGAGAGGTGGGGGGGGGGAGAAAGACCAAAGCCAGGTTTAAAGGATACAAACGGGATAGGTCCTGGTGGTGGCTGATTTTTGGTAAATGCTTAGTGGCTTGGGGGAGGGGCACGTGATACGCTGTCGTCGGAGTGTGCGTGTGTTTGTGCGGAAGGGTGTTGACGATGGTGGCAATGGGGTGCGATTGGGGGAAAGGCGGGGGGGTGGTGGTGTGTAGACCGTGCGAGACCGCAGCAAGTGTGTTTTGTTGAGACATCTGTAGTATGGTACGCCGATGGAGAAAATGGTCAGGTGTTGTACGTCTACGATGTTTTTGTCCCGAATGGAGCTCGTGCGGCTATTGTTTATCTAATTGTCCTCCTTAGGTAATCATTAGATAATTCTTTCTTTCTTTCTACAGCGGAACAACGTTTCGGCGATTATTAATTTTTTTTTCCCCTTGGATGGTTTTTAAAGCTGTACGTATACTCATTGACATTATGCAAATGCGAGCGATGCAGATCGTTTAAAATTAGCATTGATATTACATCATTTTTCCATATCAGTTTAGACATGATAATCTAGCTTCGTTAGTTGTATAGTTATTGAGAATAATTATCTTTTTCTTTACACTTCCGTTAGATTATAATTTAAAGTGACATGTAATTGGAATTTAATACTGTAATTATCGTTGTATCGTTACAATGGATTCTTAAATGACGAAAGATAGTTCAATCTTGTACATACAATTGATTTTAAGAAGCTGATTTGTATGAGAAGTAAATTTTTAAGAACGAATTATTGGATTTATCAATGTAGATAACCATTTTCTTCATCAGGGTGAAAGTATAGCGCTGCGCGTATATGAACTTTGATGGATACGCGCTTTTTTTTTTATTTATTGTGATACTTAGGTGAGTCGTAATATAATGCGCAAGTGAGAGTCAAACTTAGGATAGAGACAATGTAAAAAGATGAAGACGACGATGATGATTATGGTAATGATGATAATGAAGACGATGATAATTACGATGACGATTATATTGATGATTATTACAATAATGACGATTATGATAATGATGATGTTGTATTGATGATGATGATTATGATGATGATTATGATGATTGTGACGGGGACGGGGACGAGGACGAGAACGAGGACGACGACGACGACGTCGACGTCGACGTCGACGTCGATGATAGAAATCAAGTTGAAATGTTGAGGTAAGCGAAAAGTGAACTGCTAAAATCTTGTAAAGATTTTATTAATACAGGTACACTATCGTGCGTACGTACGTACGTACGTACGCGCGCGCGTGTGTGTTTGTGTTTGCGCGCGTATGTTCGTGTGCGTGTGCGTGTGTCTGCGAGTAACGGAAGATGGAAGATTCTCCTTTGTTTTTGCATTTTTAAAATTCTTATTGATTACAATAACACGACAGCTAATTAACATTGTTATAAAATTCGTCGAATGATTTTGTTTTTTTTTTTCTTTCTCTTGTATATTGAGATTGGATTGTGGGAATTATTAACAAGAACAATAGAAAATATTAAGATTAAATCGCGCTGCAATTATTCAACAGTACCATATTACAAATACATAATTTAACCGTAATTAATAGTAATTATTGATTATATTACAAATTTCAGCGCATTAGTGTGAGATTACGCTCATCTACGTGTAGTAAAAGACAGTAAAATAAATATTAAATAAATAATTAATTATTTTGATTTATTTGTGAAAGAACGAACGAATCACGATGATTTTATCGGCTACTCGCAATAGTCAAAGTGCCGAGATAATGCGACGTCGCCAATAAGGGCGAGAATTTTCACTTTTCATTAATAGAAATGTTTGCCACCGACTGATAAAAGCCTAGAGCGTTATCGTGGTGTCTTTGGTGTTCTGTAATTTGCGTTAGATTTATTCATTTTTCTTGTTACGGGAATAGAAATGTGTATATTTAAATTGTCGTAGAAACGATAGTCACAAACAGAATACGAATTACATGTAAAATTGTACGGCAACAATAATAATAATAAAAAAAAGAAGAAAAGAAGAAAAAAAAAAAAAAAATCTGCTATTCGCGTTTGTAGATGATTTTAAATATGTCGAAAGTATACATTGCACATCGGCAAACACGAAGACTGAATCTAAGGCCCTTTTGCAGCGTTAGCAATAACGAAGTCTACTTTCACTGTATGATTACATTTAATCACTGTTATCGATAGAAGAAGAGCGAGAGTTTGCAGATATTGATAATTTACTTCGCTAAATTAGACAACATACCGCAATTATTACTGTAAAATTCTGCAAATTCATTTTCCCCTTCTACAATTATTCAATTATGCTTTATGTAAGTGCTATAGATATATTAGCTAGACACAGGAATCAACGCTGTACGATAATCAGTGGACGAACTATTTGGTTAGTAAATACTTGTACAATTACGTCATTGATTTTTAACTGCACATATTTCATTATAACAGGCTGATTTTGTTTATACACTTGAGTGATGCTTCGCAAGCTCTTTTAATAGTAAATTTATTAAGGCGATATAATGTTGTAATGCAGCTAATTGAGTTAAGAGCGGACATCGAAGAGAAGAAAATTCGCTACTCTTTGTTAAAAAAAGGAAAAAAAGGGAAAAAAAAGGAAAAAAACGAAAAAAAGGGGAAAAAAGGGAAAAAAAGGGAAAAAAAGGGAAAAAAAGGAAAAAAAAACCCCGCATATGATGTTATAGAGCCTATAAATTGAGCATTGAGTTTCGTAAATAAAAATTATAGAATCTTTGGATGCGTATTACAACGGCATATTATATAATCGCGTCTCACTCTGTCCGAAGTAATTTTACACTAAACATTGAATGCAATAATAAAATATTATCCTATGAAAAACAATAATTTATTGCTATTCGCCCAATTTTTCTTTATATCAAAGTATATAATAATACAAGTATATACGACCAAAGAGTTCGCAAAAGCTTGAGGAATCGCTAAGGTTTTACTTCTGCATATTTTAATATAACTCTATGTTATATTTACCAATGATGTGCATTTAATGAACTGTGCAACAAAAGAGAATGATAGTCTTTCTGCGTTCCTAAAAAGATTAGCGATGTGATTCAGAATGACGAAATGTCCGACGGGAATATAACTGTAAGTGATGCTTAATTTCGTACGCTTAGCTGAGATTCCATTCGATGAAATTTTGAAGAT